CCCAACGACCGGACCCCCCTTTCCACTCAAGGAGCATTCATCGTTGGAATGACACTACACACACACACACACACACACACACACACACACACACACACACACACACGAACATGCATACATGCACAGGTCCAGTATGCACAGACTCAAACTCTGGGATGTTACTAACACGAACAAAAAGAAGACTGATTCAGAGGAGGAGAGAAGGGGGAGGAGTTTTGTGGAACTCCCAAACAAGCCGACGCGGATGCTTGCTGGATTGTATTTGTTTGCTTTTTAATGTACTTTCTTTGTGAAGAACTGGGTTCAAACTGACTTTATTAGACTTAGTAACATTGCTGCAAATGGACTGGAATTGTGATTTCAGAGAGGAGTTGGGTGTGAGAAGAAATGGGAAGAGGGGGAGATATGATAGTATAGGGTAGGGGGGAGGGACGCGGGTGGGTATTTGGGTATTTAAAATGAATGATCTATTCTGTTGTACAGACTGATATCATTTCTTATGTATACAAAATGAAATGTCTAGTTGTGACACTATGTTTAGATACCATAGGGTCAGGTTGGTAAACCTGCCCCTGCCACTTAATGTTCTTTTAAATTCTTCTGTGTATTTTTGTTACATGATAATTTATGTCTTTGTTTGATTGACCTAATAATGATCCAAACATTCCTGTTTGTGTTGTCTGCAACACTTTGTCTTTGGTTTTCCATCCATACCTCTCTCTCAGTCTCACTTACCAGCAGTAGGAGTAGAGGAACAAAAAAAAAAATGATGACGTGATAAATGCAATTGTGGATATTTTTTGTATTTCTGTCCTTATTTGTTCATGTTTGTTCATCTCACTGTTTGATTTCCTAATTTATTATAACTTGGCTATTTATATGAACAAAGCTGTTAGGTCAGTTGAATGTTATTTATTACCCTCTTGTGTGTTCGTAAATGGGGCAACATTTGAAGAAAAAAATGAACTATTTTTCTTTGCTTTGGTCATTATGTGAACATCTAAAAGACACAAATTCTCTTTTCCCTGTCCTCTCCGTAGAGGGAAAGAGAACTTGTGGGAACTCTTGAAAAAAATGATTTACCAGTAATTTAAGAATGTAGACTTAGCCTCTTTTTGGAGAGGGAATATGCTCTTCTATTGATATTTGTCAGTTTCATATTATTGTGCGTGTAGGCCAGGCCTGAGGAGAAGGGCGACACAGATCTACTTCTTCTCTTTGTAAATATACAGACGAACCGTGGGGGTTGATTGTCTTCTCAACCGTGCTGGGGATTCCTGCTCTATGCTTTTAGCTTGTATTGCTGTGTGCATGTCAAACATGAGCTTTTCTTTGCATGGCTTTAGTGTTCATGTTCCATGCCAAACTCTCTCCTTCTCTCAGCCTTCATTGATCCTCTCGCCACAAAACTACCTTTTTAAATCCCCCCTCTGTCCCTTACTTTTCACCCTTTTAGATTTTTTGGCCTTCTTTCTTTATTGTTTTAATTCTTCCCTGGCTCCCGCTAATCTTTCCCTTCCTCCTCCTCTAATCTTGTGCACAAAGTTTTTGAGCGATGCTTCCTTGACTCTGTACCTCTGGCTGAAGGCTCGGAGGTCTGCTCTCACTGTACCTGTTAGCAGCAGAGGCGCAGTGAGGGGATGTCAGTACACAAACACAAAGCAATACCCTATCGTTCACCCTCCTTTCTGTTTTCTACAATGGGAAGCTAGCAGCACCAAGGACATCTGATGATTCTGAGGCCCAGAGCGGGCTTTGGACAGAGCAGGAACAAAACTGACTGTAATCCCCATATAAAATAACTGTGAGCATCTTCAGTGCTGAAACAAATAAACTCATTAAGTTATGGTGTGTTTGTTTTCCTTTGTTCGTGCTTGTTAATGTATGCTCAGTGTTTATGCTTAGTGTTTTTCTCAAACAACTGAAACTATGCCAATCTTCAAATTAATTTAAAATGTGCATTTTCAATCCCTGTCAAATGTTTTTTTACTTTACCTTACCAGTGTTTGCTGTAAGAATGTATTTTACTTTATTTTCTATAGCACTTGTAATGACTTTCATGTTTTAGATGTGTTCAAGTATCAGATCCTGGATTTTAGGTAAGTCTACACAAATCCACACAAACCTACAAAGCTTGTTTACAAGGTTTATTACAATACTCAGCATTCAAACATATGTTTTGTATTCCAAATCCCACGATGGACTCTGCTGCTCGACCTGTATAGAAGCATGAAACCTCAGCTTACATACACTTCATTTACTGTTAAGAGTGTACCTGGAAAAACAGTTACACAAAAACCTTTTTTGTATCAATAATATTAAAAATGTGCTTGGATTAAAAAACAAAATAAAAAGGGAACACCCCGTTAAATACTCTCACATCTTTTTTTTCTCCTTAAATAGAAAATGTCCATCCCACTCTTCAGTAAGTGTTTTGATTCTCCGGCAATACTTTTTAAAAATAAAAAACATACAGTTACATAAAAAGTAGATTTGTTCATCCAAAGTACACATCAATACCAGAGGAACTGAGTCTACCTCTGTCCGCCCACTCTGCATTATTAGTTTGAACGGGATAAAGCCAAAAGTCCAGCATGGCTGCCTCCCATGATTCAATCTATTGTCACTTTCCAGCTTCAGTCAGAACCAGGAGGGAAACGTGATCCCAATCCTCCAGGGCAACTCTATTTTTGCCAGTTTTGTCCAGTAGAGGGCAGCAGTGTTTTATTATTCAGAGTTCCCACTTGTTGCATCCATCTGTTGCTTCTCCATTTAAGCTTCCCGAGCCTTGGAGAAAAAGCATCACATTGTCCAATTTTCTTCCTCATTAATGCTGTGCTCTGCAAAAAATGTCAAGATGGAGTGCTTGGTACAAAATGCTAAACTGTCCATAGAGATCTGTATCCCAAAGTCAAAGCACTGTGGAACCAGCTTGTTATTAGTGATAGGAACAGGCGTTACTAAAAGAACTTCTGTAATAAACTATTTAGTCTGTCTTCAGAGCTGATCCTGTATCACTGATGAAAAGAAACCTCCTCTTCGAACGCCACATTCTTATTTCTGCAGACTCAGACTCTGGAGGTGACGCAGAGAGAGCGTAGTCGTTGGGCCAGGGTCGCCTCCAGCTCCTCCAGAGGCGACTCTCCCCGGCTGTGAGCCAGCGTGGAGATGGAGTTGTTCCCCTGTCGGGCCGAGGGGGGTCCCAGCAGCAGGGTCCTGAAGCCCTCTCTCTCCAGCAGAGCAGGCATCTGCTGCAAGAAGTAACCTTCACAGAATGAGCTCAGCTCCACTGAACCATGGGCCTGGGGAAGAGAAAGCGATGTTTTATCTCATTAGAAAGTGTCACATCGAGGACAGCTATCATGTAACACAGTGTGCAGTCATGTGTATTATCCAGTTGATGTGTGAATGGTTTTAAGAAGTAAGGCTTGTATTCATGCAAGATCTTTCTTCATTTTAACATGTTTCTCTCTCTCTAAAGCTTGCTATTGTCACAGCTACAGAACAATGTGTGTGTGTGTGTGTGTGTGTGTGTGTGTGTGTGTGTGTGTGTGTGTGTGTGTGTGTGTGTGTGTGTGTGTGTGTGTGTGTGTGTGTGTGTGTGTGTTACCTTGGCCGTCCTGTAGACGCTGACTGCATTATCCAGCGTGCAGAGCCGAGAGCACAGGAGTTCACAGTGTCTTTGAAGCACGCGCAGCTGGAACAGACTAGCAGCTGACAATAACTGCAGGAGGAATCACAAGCCAATGTGTTATCCTCCATTCAGTAACACAGATTACTGGACACTTCTGTTACATTGAGCTATCGCTCTGTATAAACTATGAGTAATTTGCTGACTACCTTTTTTGTGGATACATAGAGAAACATTAACACTGAATGATAAGTCTCCAGTATAGCAAAATCAACTTGAAGTAGTATCATTTTCAAACAGTGGCTGCATTTTACTGCTTTCATTTTGAACGTCAGTCGACAATTTTGCTGTGCATGCAGGCAGCTTCACAATACACTAACATTTTTAACATAGTATTTAATTAAATACATTTGATTTTACATGTAATAATTATACTAGTATACTGTTTTACACAACTACCCAGATGGATGAGTTTTAGTGATTCTCACCTCCAGCAAGTCGGGCACATTAGTTCTTAGCGACTCTGTTCCTCCACAGTACAGGTATGACATCATCATCTGTGGAAGGTCAGTACTGTAGTTTAACATATTGTATGCAGTACATCTGTCTCCAGTTGATTCAATCCCTCTTGAAACATTGCATCAAACAAAGATAAAGCAAAGTATTTGAAGCAAAGAATAGATTTGTTACCTGGAAGATTCTGTACTTGATGTCGCTGATATCAATCGCCTTGTTGCCGCTTCCTTCTGCTCCGGAGCAGGCCAGCAGAGACTTGAATCTAAAGAACACCAAAACAAATGTATTTGTCAAACGATTCAGAATGATGATTTGAATGAGCATTGGGGTCTGTATCTGACCATCCAGTTTGAATGGCTGTGCACTCACCTGTCTGAAGCTGTGATCAGCAGGACTTTGTGTGCGTAGAACGGTTTCCCTTCCACCACAAACGTCACATCTGACATCTCCTGGTTGTTCAGGAAGTGAGGGTCTGTAAAAAAACACAACTTCTTACAACTACATTCACAGGACAGCTTTTAAGGGATTCCGAATATTTTGATAACCGATTCATTCTTTAAGGTTATTTTAAAGCAAAATTGCTGTGGTTGAGAATTTGTTCGCTATTTTTGCGATATTTAAAAAAAACATCCAAATAGATTCAAAGGCTTTAATGTCATATGCACAGTAGCTACAGTGTAGACATGAAAATGAACATCTTAAGTCCCAAGCTCCTCCAACAATGCAACATAGTTATAAAGGACATCAAACAATAAAACTCATTAATAATTGGTAGGTTAGTAAATAAGGGAAAATGAAGCTGTTATTGGTGTTCCTATACAAAAATAAACCATAAATCCTTACCCAACTGTGCAGAAAGAGTTGCCTTCATCCCAGGGATGGCTGGAAGGGGGGCGGGGCCAAAGCAGTGACTAAAAATAGTCCCCAACTGTTGTATGATGGCATCATTCTGGAGTAAAAGGGAAACAACAGGGAGGAGGGCGTTATATCTCACATATAAACTAGTATCCAGCACATAAAAAAAAGGAGGAAAACTAGCAGACAGTAAGGTTTGATGATACCTTGGTGGTGCGTAAGATATGGAACATCAGGGGCAGGCCGAGGGTGACCAGCTCTGTGCAGTAGTCCTCTTCTCTGATGGTGGTGAATTCTCTGAGGAGGGACAGGGTGACCCCCGCCCTGGACTGCTGCGTGGCACAGCGCAGAGACTCCAGCCACACGTGCAGCTTCCATGGTACACCTGGGTAAAAAGAAGGTTTTAGATTCAGGGTAAGCCTCAATTAAAATCCTAAGCAAGTCTTCTTTCTGAGAAGTGATAGTTACCCATAGCTCGTAGCTCCATGGTGACGTCCAGGTAGCCGTGCTCCGCGCTGTAGTAGCTGGCCTCCTGCAGAGCCTTCATCCTAGCCTTGCAGAGCCTCGCTATGCCTCCTTCAGGCAGGGCCCCGGGGCCAGAGGAAGGGGTGGGGAGGGGGGAGAGAGGGAGGAAAGGGCAGATCCCGGCGTCCTCGCCCTCCACCCCCTCAGCTAAGATCTCCTCCAGAGACAGGACATCCTCTTTGACTTGCTGGGGCTGAGTCAGTAGCTTTCTCAGCACGTTCCTGACAAGATAAATGGGGAGGGGGAAGAGAGAGGAAAGAAGGCGAGAAAACATTAATATCTGTCAGAACTGCAACACATACATCCATTTCTGTGACCTGCACCCTCCTCTCTATTACATAATCTGTCACCCTCACAGTGGAATGTGAAGTGTTGAGTCTACACTGTGTTCACACATACACACAGTGAACAGGTGGAGAGGTTTAGCCTCCAGTTGGTGTTTAGAGACAGATGGACTGAATAGAGGGGGGCACTGAATTTATAGTCCGGTAGTTTTAAGATCTTCCATCTCAGTGCCATGATAAAAGGGATGTATCTCTCTATGAAGCTTGTATGGAAACTCGGGATCAAGTATGATAGAGTTCTGACAAAGTTATTGTGATTTATACATGACTTTCTTCTCTGTGGCTAAGAGGATGAAAGCTGGCGGTTTTTCACAGACTTTCAGCAGCATCTGTTGACAACACGCTGTACTCAGATCAGATTGAGAGACACATACCTGTGTCCGTGTGAGGCAGCATGACTGAAGCAGTTCATGTCTTCATAGAGCGACGACGTGAGGGCATTCCCATCATGGGTCTTTGATAAGGGATCAGCGCCTCGTGCCAGGAGCAAACTCACCATCTCGTAGTTTCCTGGGAAGCACATAAACACTCAATTACATACAGATACAGATCTTAAGCACCTCTAAATGGGATGTTTTAGCTCTTTCCCACTAGTGCAGTCTACAATGCTAAATAGTTAACATATCACCCAATAACTGTAAACATGTTTTATGCTTTCGTTTTAAAAGTATGTTTCTATTGCTTTATTTATAATGCAATAGTGCTCCTACACTGTAGATGTATTCGTTGTGGCTTTATTACATTTTACCGCAGGGAGATATTAAGCTTTATCATAGCTTATTTAAGATTTTCAAACAAGCAAACACATTCATACAAGGCCTTATTTACACACTGTCATTGCTGCTATGTAGTGCATGTGTCTAGTTTACTACAGCTATGTGTGGCTTCTCCATGATCCCACAGAGGAATTCTGCCCGGAGGGTTCTAAACAACCACAGGCTGCTCTCACTCTGCCTGTTGTCACCCTCTCATTTCCTTGCTCCTCCATCTCATTTGTCATTTACAACCAAATCCTGTGCTGCTCTTGCTGGTCTTTTGGGAAACTGGCACAGTATTGTATTTGTGACTGATCATGGAGAGAGGTATTATTACATGATTTAAAGAAAGTTACGACAGCGGCTCATTCATTCATGGCTTTGTGTCTCCCAAACATTCTGCCTATGTAATTTAGCAGTAAGTAGTAATTTAGGGACCATAAATCACATCGGAACCCAGGCCATCTATAAGTGGGATTATACTCTAACATCAGCTGTGCTTTGTGTTGTGTGTACACGTGTGTGTTTAGCCCACCTGCTGCTGAAGCCAGCTGCAATGGGTTGTCTGCTGTGCTCTCCTGTCCATTGCGGACTGGGGCCCCTTCCACGTTGGCCCCTGCATCCAGCAGGAGCTGGAGATACACACAACATCTGTTATACGGTGCATTGTTTGACATCTTGTTACTCATTTATGGACTGACCTCTGGCCTTACATTTGTCACTCAACTTTGAAAAGTACAACATGACATCCACAGTTATATGCAGCAACAGGAAGAAAATACCCCATTCATGCAGCGTATTGAATAAAGGGTTGTAGTTAAATGTTGTATGTGTTTCTAACCTGCACTACAGAGATGTGTCCATGCAGCACAGCGAAGGTGAGGGCTGCCCAGTGCCGACTGTCAGGATGCACAGAGGGGTGCTTCGGGGAGCATGGTGGAACCTGGACAGGACAGATAATCAAGATCATACTCTCAAATGTAGAATTGTATGGGAACATCTAAATAAATGTGTCCATATGTTCAAGTATATTTACCGCCACGTCAAGGTTTGCCCCGGCATCGATCAACATCTGGACTAAGGCCTCGTCTCCAGCTGCGCAGGCATACATCAGAGGGGTCATGCCCTGAGGGAAGAGGTGCAATGGACTCATGAAATAGGAGAAACAAGTGCTGCCTACAAATCAACTGGGAGTATGTATGGATAATGCTGCAGTATTTCTCTACAACCATTATACATACAGAGGCATTTATACCCTATTTAAAAACAAAGCGCCAGTACCTGGTCGTCCATGCTGTTGACCCCATCAGGCCCCAGCAGATCGATAGCTTGGCCAATGAGATCTGTGCGTCCACAGTTGAGCATCCGAAAACCCAGGTCCAGGTGGAACTTGTCCGTGGCGGCCTTGGAGTCCAGACGCTTGAAGGAGCTAAAGCAACACTCAGGTCTAATAGAGAGATAGAAACAAGGATGGTGTAAGTATAACATTCCATTTGGGAGAGGTAACTAAGTGAGTCTGAGAAGATCCAACTCAGAAAGATAAAACACAAGTCATTGAGAGCCAGCAGAGTTGTGGCTCATGCACACTGCACATTTGCATCTGATAGTTTTCTTTAATTGTACACTTCATGAAGACGTTAATGAGCCACATTACAGTCAGCCCACAGCCATTAATCTACTGTATTATGCGTGTAATTATTTTTTTGTGAGAACCAATTAAATTACAAGCCTTCAGTGCAGTTGTTTTTTTCATCTAATTAGAATGATCTCATAAAACTTGTGGTGTGTGTGTGTGCGTGTGCGTGTGCGTGTGCGTGTGCGTGTGCGCGTGCGCGTGCGTGCGTGCGTGTGCTCATATTCACTTCAGCTGTCTTGGTTCACAGTCCAGTCCTGGAAGGAGTAGCCTGGCAGTCTGTCTGACATCATCGCTGTCCACCAATAGACTCTTGCGATGCTCAGCATGAACTATGGCGACTCTCATCCACTCCATCAGAGGAGGCAGCAGCAGGAACGGCCTGTTAAAGGAACATTTACATTATTATTGGTCTAGCTATATGCTTGGGACAAAGAAATGTATTCAGGTTTAATGTAGGAGTAGTTTAGAGAACGTCTGCATGGGAGATGTCCTCACTCGTGATTCAGTCCAGTTGAGAGAGATCTCATAAACTGTCATCAACCAGATGACATGTGTTTGTCTCGCTGTACTTCCCCTCATTCTGACCAGAGTTCAGTGAGTCATACTAAACAGACAGAGCACCTCACCTCTACTAACCACACACATATGCCAACTTTTACATACTATATACTAGAACCGCGTTATCCTCATCTTACGTGCAAGCAGACACTCAAATAACAGATGTGTGTATGTATACATATATGACTAATCATCAGTGTTTATGTTAGTTGCCAGGTGGTGAATTTCAACATGAGTTTTATCTGTCTGTTAGCTGTGATGGGCGGAAGATTACAGAACAATGACTTCATCGTTCTGTGGTTTGATAAACAAAATACTGCAGCAGCTTCTGAATAATCAGCCTATTTTTGTAGCAAAATGAACCACCTAAGGGAGATGAATACAAAGTGCAGCATTGTTTTCTAGGAAAGAAATAACCAAGTGAAGCTAAAAAGGGAAGGAATAGATTAAAATAGAAATGATGGACAGGATTGAACTGAGCATGAGGGAACGAGAGAAAAATATATGAATCAAGAAGAAGCAGTGGAACAAAAGTGGAGCGATAAAAGAGACATGTCTGGTGTGGTATTTGTGAACGTGACTTTCTAAAAGTCATCTGGATTTTTGGATTGCCCTCTTCTCTTTCTTTCTTCATTGTCCACGTCTTTCAACTATTATTTTAAAACTGTTCAGAAACCACTGTTGATGTGGCTATCTGAAACGCCACATCCAGCCGGTTGTCTGGTATTAATCCCAACTTCTATGTGCCTTTCTCTCCCCATATGTGCCCACGAACAATGACTTTTGATCCTATGGAGCCTCAACCATAGTATGTTAATCATAGTTTGAACACTGCCTCTGTGTTATCACGAGTTACTAAGCAGCCTTTTCTCCTGCTGTGATGTTATTCTTAGCGGCGACTTCACCTTTGTTCTAAGGAGATGCAAACACTACAATGCATAATGAATACAGATGGCGGTAGGGGAAAAAAGCATGAGCAGTATACAAGCATATAGCTCTGTCATGTGCATGCTATAGGGATTGTAGTTACTGTTAATGAGCACTGGGAGCCCTGCAGTGCCATTTATTCTCCTCACTGTGTTTTCTTCCAGCTGCTACCTTCTGTTTTGTAAAGGTTTCAAAGAGTGAATATAAGATTTTTTTATAATGAAGGCCTTACAATAACTTTCATTCTTATCTGAATCTCAGAGTTGTTCAGACATTAAGGAGCCCGCAGATAACCTGCTGTCTCCTGTTGCCGTCTATTTTATCTCTCTAGCCATTCTGTCAGATTTAGCTTCAGTACTTTATCGGTGATCAGTCAGGAGGAGGGACACCGCTGTCACCCTGGTGTGAGAGTTAACTATCAGACAAGGACTGATGGGATGAAGGAGGAGGGGGAGGTTAAATGGGTCGGATAGGTGCATATAAGGAGGGTTTGAGTGTTTGGGAAAACGGCTGGGAGGCAGGTGGGGTATGTCATAATGAAGAGGGGGTTGGGTGGCAGTTTGGAGACAGTGCTGCGGGTGTAGAGTGATACGAAAGTCCTGCTTCTGAGGTGAGGAAGGGCAGAGGGTTTGAGAATCAATGTTATTCTTCTGTTAATGGGCTTCACTCTACACAAATTGGACCGTGTGAGTCTGTTCTTTTGGTTTGTGCATTGGTACATGTGTCTGCGTCTGTCTCTATGAATGCCACGAGGCATCCGCCCTGCTACTTTACTGCATCCTTGCTCCAAGGCACTGGCACTAATCTAGAGCTAAAGCTGCTCCAATCAACCGTATGAAGCTTTTAACACTTAACGCTTATTGATCCATCAGAGAGATCTCCTCTGTCTTTTACTTCATCAATCAGCATTACACAGCCTCTGTTTTAGTGAGTAAAACACTGTGTCTCTGCATACTGAAGCGGGGAAGTGTTTTTTCTTTTATGGCCAGGAATAGTGGTTTTCCAATAGAATGCTTTCAGCTGCCGTTTTTTTACCTTAATTAACCTTTAATGTTGTTTAAGTGTGGTGGGTGGGGTTAGGGGTGTAGAGGATATACACAAAAAGGTGCATCAACACAAATCAGCTAAGGCCATATGTGCGTGCAGACCTTTACCAGTGGCCCGTGACTGCGGACAGATGGAGCATGTCTGTACCTTTACCCACAGCTCTGGCCCCTCTCTAACAATTATTCATCCCCTGCTTTTTTCCTCAAAACCCTTCTCCCTCTATCTAAACTTCCCCTGGCCGACCCCTGTGTCTAGGTTATGCCCCTCAGCTTGAAACACAAACTTTAGCTTCGTCTGAGACTCGCTGCAACATCAAAGCCAAGCCTCCTGTTAACACTGAAACTAGATAGCACTTCTGGCTAGCCTGCTGACCCGACATGCTATGGCTCCACACTGAGATCAACGGGATGTAGGCACACATACATACACTCTCCCACACATGTTCACACACACATGAACTTATAAAGCTGTGATTGATGGCGCCCTTCCACACCACCTGGCTGCTCATGAACTGATTGTCGCCTCAAATTGTGGTCAGGTGTGTTTGAACTCTAACCTGTCCAACATGAAAAGCTAAGACTTTTCTTCCCAGGACATAAATGCTGTACTTTGCCTGTATGTTCATTATCGTGGAGCCACAGTGATGGAGTCCATGCTGTAAGAAACTTCAATCAGGTCTCAAAGCAGACCCCATCATGCGCTGCAGAGGGGCAAGGTTAACCACTGATCCAGAGTCAGATTACTCTCATAAAGGCTCCATAAGGGGGAGTGTAACTATATCTGATGTATCTGTGGTTAGACTTAAGCACCACTGGCTACTTCTTATCAGAGAAACACATCTATCCATTAGTATTCCCTTCCATCCGCTGAGGGAGGCAGAGGGTTTGTAAGTGCTTATTTTTGGATTAATTCTAGTAATAAATAGATTTTTTAATAACTTTCAGCACAAATAAAGTGTTTTTTTCTACATTCTGATTTAAAAAGGGGCGTGAAAAAGCAAAAATAAGTAGATAAACAGACACTGGTGTTTGGCTCTGACACTTTATGCCATTTAATCTCCAATAAAACATAATATGTAAGAACTAAGCACCAGGATTTAAAGGATAATGATATAAAGGGCGTCTCTCTTGGTCTCGAGGATTCTGCAACACGGTTCTCACCAGGCTCCCTATAATGTTTGATGATGTGGCCGACACAGATTTGGTGGTTTTGGGTTTCCACCAAAGATTTTATAAAGTTTTCAACAGAGGGTGAGCCAGAGCGATTGAGAGGCCCGGTGTAGGAGAGCGGTCTGTATTATTACCAGGCGTTCGTATTGTAATCACTACCAGGTTTGCACTGCTTTAGTCTATCACCTGAGTCTGTCACACATGCTGATACTAACAGACACTACACATGGTCGCACAGAGAAGCATGCAGGCACATAGGTGGATGTCTTGAAAGAAAAACATAAAGTCACAGGTGTTTCAAAGTATACAGTATTTAGGATGCTAAATCATGTCATCCTGCACACACAAACTAGGCTGAAATACACCCAACATTAAAAACATATGACGACTTGGGCGAAACAGCCAGGATGGGGTAAAGAGAGGTGTGTATTTTCTGTTTGGTTCTCTTTGATGCTAATGAGGAGCCCACCTTTTTTGCTCACTCACACTGTGTGTGTCTGTTCATTATTAAATGTATAGAAGCCAGCTGGCTTTGAGTGCATACACGTGTGTGTGTGTGTGCGTGTGTGTGTGTGTGTGTGTGTGTGTGTGTGTGTGTGTGTGTGTGTGTGTGTGTGCATGCATGTGTGTTTAAGTAAGATATTTTACTGATTTCCTTCTATAAACTTTTTAAGGAAGTTTGATGATATCACTTTTGTAATACCTTTAAAATAAACAAAAAATGACACGAGAAAACAAAAAAACACATGAATTTAGAGACGTTAAAACATTGGTTGAAGAAAAAGTAAGAGCTGCATCCCATTTGTATGCTTGAGCTACCTTTAGACAGGTCTCCATACATCCTTCAAAGAAGTGTAATTAACCTTTACACATAGAGGAGCACTTTCCTCTGCCATTTTTAACATATGGTTACTCCCACACGCACGTGTCTGAGTGTTTTTTCTGGGAGACAGATGTGTGGGCAGACTGGAAGTACTTTTCTCATACACATAATTGTAACTAATAATGTTAACTTACCTGACGGCCGATAATGTTTTGGTTTTATTTGAACAGCTGCTGAATATATCCATTACTTGTGTATTGTTATACAACCCACGTTCTTATCAGTTAATTTGGGAAGAAAAGAGATTTGACTCAGTTGAGGGATACTCCTTGCTTGGAAACCCAACAACATTAAACACAATTTCCCAGAATAAAGCCAACAAAAATGTGAAAATGATGAGGTATTCTGATAAAAGTAAATCGTCTGGATCAAATGTAATTGTGACTTGCTACTTGTATCTTCAGGCTGTCTAAATATTAAATACCACTTTTGACAAGACAAGAATTAACGTAATTGTTTTACAAAGGCACGCCAAGGGAGATCTGAGGAGACCCTTATCGAATTAGAGACCATTAGCACCTCTTCAAAATACCTTAAATCACTAGTCTTCAGCCTAATTTACATTCTGAAGGTGCGATGAACCCTTCTTTCAGACTAACATTAACACCTGGAGTCCTTCGTCACCTCTAATTAACTAACACTCCAATGACTAGGAGCAATGGAATCAGGAAGAAAGATGGTCTGTGAAAAGCTGTTCACTTGATTAGAACCTGTGTGTTCATGTCTGAAGGGGGATGTTTGTGTATTTGCATGGGTAGAATGGTGGCATTGACAGCATTTCTGTCAACCAAATCCAATATTGGATAATCACAGATGTAATAAGGAGAGCAAAGCATTATATGCATGAAAGGAGACAAAATAATACTAGAAAATGGTCTAAGATTAGATCTGTTATTTCACGGTAGACTTTGGTGAGCATTGAAAACGCTTTTGTCAGGCCATGCATGACTCCTACCTCTCTTTGCTGAGTGCCATGCGTGGGGGGTCTAAATTGGGATTCTCCATGGACTCCATTTGTGGGCAGCGCAGGAAGTAGTAAAGGGTGTGGAGGGCGTCCGGCGACCAGGACACGGGCTGCTGGGGACGGGCGTGTCGGGCTGGGCTCTGTCCTGGGCGCACCGAGCTCAGACGCTGCATGTGGTGCATTGCCCGGGACACCAAGTCACCTGGAACACAGGAAACAACAGACGGGTCAGAGTCAGACGGTTAAGTAGAGATTTGTTCTAGGAAATACAAAATAAATACACATAATGAACACATTTCTTTCTTGGTGGCTCCTAATAGAATTGGATGCATTTCCGCTTTTCCTAAACCACTTACAATCAACCCTCATTTACTCTCATTACCATTGCTCCGAGTCTCTAGTGGTACTTGCCGTTGTCATTATCAGTAAGCCCCGCCAGACGTCCAGTCTAAACAGCTATTCATCCGTAATCATTGAAGGAGTTAATGGGCTAACAGACAGTTGATCACAGGTGCTAATGAACCGATCAACTGTTACTCTATTAATGTATTTAAATCAGTGCACTCAGCATAGCTGGGCGTCAGTCACATGGCAAAGTAAGGTTAAGATATGGGCTTAAGTCTAGTATAAAACTTTTAAAATAATGACGTGTGAAAAAACACTGCTGTGCTGAGATAAAGACATGAGGAATATACAGTTTATCAGAAAAGGCATCCACCCACACAGTGAGCTAAGTAGACAGCCATGCGTACTTGGATAAAGGCCAATTCAGTTTACTGGATGTGTGGTTTAACATAGAAACCTACTGTAAGTAGACATGCACAAAACACAGAAAAGAGGGAGTATGGCTGCAGGGAGTAGAGCTTGTAGATAACATCCTTTTGCATGAGTATGGGGTCATAGCAGGAGTATAGAGGAAAGACTAAATATCAGCTGTCACAGGGAGGGGATGTGGGGGAGAGGCAGAGAGAGGGAGCGGTAGGGAGGGAGGCCAGGTTGAACTTGGGATCGTGTAACGCTTATTTAGCATAATTACCCCTGGGTTAATTTCTAACCAGATTACCGACAGTGGGAGGCTGCCCGGGGGCCAAGGCTGGAGAGTGTGTGTGTATGTGTGTCTTTATTCAGGGGTTTGGGGTACTTTGAGATGGGGGGGGTAGATTAGGGTGGCCCTCCCAAAGCAAGACCCCACTTCAAGCTGAAGGGCCTCCTTTGTGTTCACCACCACCAGCAGTCGCTCCAGGAGGTCTCCTAGGAATTCTTGCCCAAGATGGAGAGCCTCTCCTCTGCTTTCCAGCACTTATTGTGCCCCGAGGCTAGACCCAGCTCCAGGGGTCAGAAGGATATGAAATACTCCATTCTAAGATTACAGCTTATATTGGGAGACCTCGTGAAAGCCTTGAAGTCAATCAACTTTGACATGCCAGCTTTTTCAATACATATTGACTAAAAGTGCCTCTTAGGTCAAAGTTGGAAGATAATAAAATGTTTTAAAGCAAAAAAAGATTTCAACTTTAATGTAAAGCAATTCAGTAAAAAACATGTATACTGATTTTATTTGGACTCAAATTGCTAATTTGCTTCCCAGGTTTTAGCACAAAGCTCATTTAATTGTTGGTAAATCCAATCCAAATCTTTAAAATGTTCTTTACTTAACTGGAAAGTCAAATACTCATCATTTCCCATAGCTAATAAAGGCCGCTGCTAAACACTCAAATGTGTATGGACATTCAGAGCCAGTCTACAGCTTACACTACATTTCCAACCATTTTGGATTTACCTGGCTGTCCAGTACCGTCCATCATGTTTATGTGTGCTGTGTGTTCCTGTGTCTGGCCAGGTCCAGGCTACAGATCCAACAGCCTGAGCAGTTTAGCACAGATGCTCCTCTGTCTGCCTGGTCTCCTGGCTCAGATCAGGGCCAAACCCTCTGTGTTTTTGTTGTGTGCATGCATATCTGTGAACACATGCCTGTGTGTGTGTTGGTAGGTGGGAATGGGTGTGAAGGATGCCAGCCCTGCCCAGTACAGCCCAGCTTCACACCACCACAGAGATGTGGCACAAAGAGACCACTGAGCCAGGGAGAGAAAGAGTGTGTCTGTGTTTGAGAGTGTGTGTACACTTTCTTAATGCCTCACTAACGACGGCAGTGTATGAACGTGGCCTTGTGCCGGAGGAACAAACGGCAGAGTGTTAGCTCATTTGGAGAAGGAAACTTGCCCTCACTCTGACCAACACTAATCTCCAGGCCTCCTCCTCTCTCCCTGCACTGACAACCCCACTCTTCACCTCTCTACCTTTCCATCATTTCCCCTTACCCCCCACCCCGAATCCCTGCTTGGGCAAATATGGACTCTATCCTTACACTTAATCTCCTAACTTTCCTACTTCCATTCCTTCACTTTGCTTCTCTTTCTCACTTTTGAATGACCCGGTTCCAGCTCTCCATCATCTGCCAACTCCAGCAGAGCCTAAACAAACCAGATGTACAGTACAGTACAGTACGACTGTGTGTGTCTGCATGCCGCTCTGTTTACCAACCATCTGTATGAAACATGGTCATCATCATTAAAACTCTGAAAAAAGTACCAATGAGTTCCTTCACCTCTCAGAATGTAGACTTCCCCTGACTAGATGCTTATGTGAAGTCTCAGAATTGAAAGAGATATTTGAATTTAACACCAATCACAACCTCACACAGTGTGTAAATCAAACTGAACATGCAGATTTAAAACAGAGAGGCATTCAAAGCTTCTGTGAAATACCCAGTACCATGTACCAAACAAAATATATCACTTAAACAAATACAGCACATCTTTTTTTCCAGTTGACTAACTTGACTGAGATAGTTCCTTGACACACAATGCTTAGAAAAACAGACAAAATACAATCAGGCACAATCACTTTCCTCTCCAGAGCTTGTGTGTAAAGCAAAACTGTTCCATTGGTTATTTTCTAAGACTGCGCATAAGATAACTTTTGCAATAAGGCACACACTGAGGGCTTATCACCAGACAGAACAAACAAAAAACGCAATTCTTTTATCTTGGCTTGGCAGAGAAAACAGGCTTTTTGGGTGAAAACACATTATCTGTCTTCCAGAGGCAGTTCACAATGTGAAAGTTCGAATGTGTGTTTAGACTACGATCAAGTCTTTAAAAAATACAATTAGTTTGATAATTTCTGGGAATGTTTACTTGTCTGTAGTAATAATAAGATGTTTAACAGCTTAACTTTTTATGATTTCTTCAAAGAGCTCAGAGGTATTTCACAGATTAAACACTTGATAGGAACATAATCTGCTGATAATAAGTAGGACCAGGACCACACACACATCTCTGAGCTATGTGTACTCACTGAGTTCAGAAATGCTGCCCACACAGGTAGCCAGCAGGGACTGTTCCAGCGTCCTCAGCTCCAGCTGGGCATAGGCATCCTCCCTGCTGTCCGCCGACGTCTGATGGTTCTCCGTGTAGGGACTGAAATGAGCCGGGAGAGACAAAACACCTACAGAGACAAAAAACAGAAACGTTTGTGATTAATATGATGCTTCTGTGAGCGGTGCTAACAAGCCTGCATAACTTTCAGCAACATCCATCCACACTGCTTCTGAAGAAGTCCCAAAACAACTGCTGCTGGTATTTACATAGTGTATTTGTAATCCTGGTAACTTGTAACCCCACACCGCTGAGGGCAAATAAACACACAAGGGAACACGAGCCTTGCTCTCGACACGTTTGGGAAAATAAACAGAGCGCAGTGACATCAGGCTAATACAAACAAAACAAATGCACACTGCATCATAAGCAGGCGGAGGACCAACAGAAAGGAATATCACTACAGACTAAAATCAAGTTAGAAATCCACCGTATGGATTTCCCTTTAATCCACAAACATTAGGTTTACAACACACGCTCTAATAATAATAATAATACATTTAATTGATATAGCGCTTCTCATCTGCCAAGACAAATCTCGAAGCGCTTCACAACAAAGGACACTGATACAATTTGAGAGATTAAACAAATAATAGTAATAATAATACAAAAATTAAATATAAAAATTAAAGATTAAATAAAAATAAATAAAATACAAGTCGGAGATAGCGATACAAATGGCATGCTCTCTACATGCTTGATTCATACTTGTCATATCTGCAGATGTCTGGAGGAACTATTAAACTGAAGAGAGTTCCAGAATAAATATTATGGCTAAAGATAATGTAAACATTTGGACTACCTATGTTGTAAATGTATTATCTTTTCAATTTACACACGGCATCTATTGCACGTCTGTCCGTCCTGGGAGAGGGATCCCTCCTCTGTTGCTCTCCCTGAGGTTTCTCCCATTTTTCCCTTTAAACTGTGGGTTTTCTCTGGAAGTTTTTCCTTGTACGATGTGAGGGTCAAAGGACAGAGGGTGACGTATTGTCATACTGATATTCTATACAAACTGTGAAGTCCACTGAGACAAATGTAACATTTGTGATATTGGGCTATATAAGTAAACATTGATTGATTGAAACAAAGGTTTGGTTATGGTTCATATTTTGGATGTCATCAATCAAGAGTTCTAAAAGGTTCAAAGACCACCAGAAGTCCAGGACCCTTACAGACCTACTCTGACCTATATTACACTTAGACAAACACACACACACACTGACACATATTTACACACAGATGAAGAAACTAACACATGTGGTTAAGAAGGAGGATATGCGATGTGTTTCCACACCTTCGCTCATACGTACAGTAAAAGGTTGTACGGATGGGCTTTTCATTCTCTGCACTGGATGACAACATGTAGTGTTTGATGCACTGAATAACAACACTTCAAGATACTTTAAATAAGATTTAAAGAAAGCATGAGTGGAAAGGATCTTTGTTTTGAGTTCAGATTTGTATTAAAGACCAAAATCTGTGCCCTCTGGCAGACCCTGTCACCCAGACAAACTGTATGCTATATTTTAGGGAGGAGTTTTGGAAATCTGTATCAGGTAACTCCCTTCATAAAATCTGACAACAGACAGATAACAATATGTTGCAGTTAAACACCAGGTCTGCTCTTTGTCAAACGTGTTGCTGGTAAAGAGATAACATCCTATAATAGAACCCAAAGATGTCCTCCTGCTCTTTCACTGCTGTAACTCTCTTCTAATTGGTTTTCCAAATAAAATGGATAGAAATAGAGAGCATAGGCTGGTGTTTTCTGCCTCTTAGTATCTCTCAGCTGGCTGTTAGCTCCCACACCCTCATTAGCTCAGTCTGGAGCAATGTGTGGTTATCTAAGAAGCAGAGCGGGTTGTTAGTTACTGTGCACCGCGTAGCTGCCCAAACGGTAACCTTTATTTTGGCTTCAGTAAGAGAAGAGAGCTCTCTGCCAAGCCAGGGGAAATGAGTGGGTGATGGCTGATGATAGAAAAACATTAATGGTTAAGGGAAAACAGAATTGTGGCAGGTTTTACAAAGCCTGAGGAAAAGCCTCATCATCTCAAACTCTCCCTTCTCTCCCACAAGGGAAACGATAGACTGCCATCCCTGAAATGACATTCCCATGTGCTTCCGACAAGCGGTGTCCTCTATCGGAATCTGAGAGGGATGTTGAAAAGAGTAACAGATGATGTGTAGAGACACATTCCTATCATGTAACTCCAAAGTCTCTTCTTTTCAGCACTCATAGACACAAGAGAATAATGTATGAAGAGCAGACTGAAGTTAGGCAAAGGGCAACACATTTGAACCAGTAAACTGAAATACTTCTTTCCTGACAATACATACTCTGCACTGTAGACTGTGTGTGCTATGGCTGAATGTGCTTGCAGTAAACATGTCTTTGCCAAAGATTAAGCACGTTTCAAGCAATACCTGCTGCAGGGAGTCTCCTAGGTATGCATCAAAGGTGTGCCCACAATTTGACTAACAAGTATACACAAAGCTCAGCGAGTGACAATTAGAACTCCTCCAGATCTCCAGAAGTAGACAGTGGACATATGGCTTGTGGTTTGCTATGCTAGAAAGTGTGATATCATCACAGTTTGGACACTTAATAGACTGCCTTGTTGCAAAATGTGTGCTGGATGTTGCATTGAGCAGTTTCAGTTGTTATAAGTGAGCGCGGACATCTGTCTTATCTGCGAGTAAACACTGATGAATCTATTCTGCAAAGTGAGGGCTCTGTCTAATATAAGATCACTGTGCAAATACACTTGCTTTTAAAACACACAGCAGGAACCATCACAGAGTGAAATGCAACATGGTGTTGACTGTGTATACAAATCACACATAGTATTTTACAATAAAAGGAGAGGTACGTTACTTATGACAGGTAAAGGACTATATCGCATGCGCTGGATGTATACATCATCCAGGCTGTATATCAAATGCTCTATAAATAGTGAAAGGGAGTTATTATTGCAGAGAGTTGGAGGTACATGATATGTTGACTTCCCAAAAACAAAGCCCAAAAGCAAGGGAGAAAGTCACTTTACTCAACAGTAGTACTTCATACATGAGGAACACATTGATAGAACTAAATATATGTTGACTCCAGTAGAGTTATGCTGCCAAAGGGAATTTGGTCTCATACAGAAATTGTAACCCCCCCCCCTTTCCAGTACTTTCTCTGCACCATCTGACTTGTATAATATGTGCTGACTCCTGCTTCCAACACAATGGAAACGGCTGCCTCTAGCAGAGTACGGCTGCTACAAAGAGCATCTGCGTCAGACAACCACACCGTACACAAGCTTCAACACATCCCTGTTCCCTCACACACACACAAACATCGCCATACACTCGTGTTTGTGCATATAAAGTATGTTTGCACCTCTTTGATGTGTCACTTCAGGTATTTTGGTAATTATAATGAGGGCTATGCTTTTGCAGATTGTCAATCATTCCTTAATTGGATATAACCGCAAATAAGTGTGGGGTGAAGCATATGGAGCTCTGGAATGTTCATATGACCTTGTGAGGATCTCTCATCTCCCAATGAATTACTAATAAGTCCTCAGACTTTTTTTTCTCAGTAAAATAGATGGACGGTTTTTTCCATTGTTGTATTTTCAACAGACCCCTAACAAATTGAATTAGCTTTTCCATGTTCTGCACGTGCTCCTGAACTACCTTCCTGTGCATACACCACCTTGTTTTATGACCACCATAACTAAAGTGGCCTCCATAATAGTGTAGGTGTTACTGTATGGGACATGTAATATGAATACCTCATTCAGAAATAGCTTGATTCCAACTCATGTCAGAGAGAGTCATGGCCCCTGAGGTGTAAGAGCCATTTTGAGAGACTCTTTGCCATCAATGTGGGTGAGGATTTATGGAAAAATATATATTGTGTGGGCAAAATGAAGGTCTGTGCAAGACTGTGTGTCTATGGGACTGAGCAAAAGTGTGCACATGTATTTAGATGTACTGACTTACTGTAGTGTGTTTCACCAAGAACGGCACACTGAAGTTATTCCAGTCTTCAAACTCGACTCTACTAAATGGTTCAAAATAGACACTGAATAATACCTGGAGGACTAATTAAACCAGTATAATGAACCGGTAAACAGTATGTGTTCAGCAACCATTAAAGAACAACCCCCTCAATTTGCTACTTTAAATAATACAAGACAACTACAACGTTCAATTAATTATTTAAATGTCCAGCTCCTGAAAAAACATCACACTTGAAATCCATAATAAGACCAAACATGTCCTTAGACCTTGATTTGATGTACTTTGACATGTTGTGTTATTGCTTTTACAGGATAATCTTTAGCCTATATTTAACATGCCTAAAACTGACATGGGTCATTTTAAGAAATGTTAATATATTTTCTTTTGATTGTGCCATATTCCTTTAAAGCTGCGGCAATATTCACGCACCACCACACTCTCAGTAGTTCCCACAGTCCCACCCCGCTGCTTGCTTCACCGCTGAACCCCAGCCTGCGTCATCTGAGCCCGATGAAGGTCCGCCAGCCAACCAGGGCCCGGCCCACCACCACCACTAATATCACAAGCAGCTAAAGCACTATATGCATCATTTTAATCTGGCAATGGAAGAGGTTAGGGATACGACAAAGAGGAGGGGATGCGAGTAGAAGCTGAGAGGAGGAGAGGGAACTTTTGGTGGAAGACAGATGAGTCATGCAGAGGAGGGATGTAACGGAGACTGGGGAAGGGGAAGACAAGTGGCACAAGGGATTCATTCTTTCGCGGCCATTATGGTTTTATTTTCTGAGGTTCACCCTACGAATGTCATGTGGGAATCCTAGCTACAAATCACGGCTGAAACTCACCACCAGCCTGCGGCGGTCCCCGGCCCATCCAAACTATCTCTCAAAACCACAACAGCTCCTCCTAGCTCAGCCGAGCAATCACTCACAATCATGTTTGACACGCTGCCATAACAAGGTCCAACAACTACTTTTTCTTGTTATGCTGAAAGTTCTTGAAACTTTGCCCAGGCGGGCTGTCACTTTCAATTAGAAGTTTTTATGAGACGTATTACATTAAAATCTATTGTCTGGAAATCATAAAACGTTTAACTGTGACATGGTGATAGACTGTGCCAGGAACACAAAGCTACGCTAATGGAACACATTGTGTTTCACACTGGCCTTGACTCTAACTCTTTACTGCTCCTTTGATATCCCACGTTATCTTCCAATGGCAGAATTTGTTCTTTCGCACAGACTTGGTAGCAGAATTAGGGTAAAAAAACGACTTTGAAGGACATAACTGCTTATCATGCATACTTTTTCAGCAAATATTTGAAAGATATGTGGGTTTCACCTTCAATAACCAGCCAGGAAAAACAGCTCCAAATGCTTAGACCATGGCAAAACCTCACAGTATAACGTTTGGAATGTTCATTTCTGAAGCAGCTTAGGACACTGTTCACCATGCAAAGCTTCTATTAGCATAAATTGTACATATTTTTTTATGAATTTAACCTTCAAAACACTTGTATCAAAGTTGAGTTCTTACATTAATAGTAGAAGAATACTTTAGGACATGATGGGGTAACACATACAAATATCTTGTAATAAGTAAGGTCATAAAGCTACGGGCAATATAACCTTAAATAGTTTACTGATGAGCGATCCGGACCTTGAAATACTCTCTGTATGTTGGTATTCATTCACAGAGGTATTTCATCTCTGTTTACACCAGCTCAGCCTTGATCAAATTCCTGGACCATAATTAGTCTGTGTGCTGATTTGTTTTGTCTGCGGCAGAGAGTGTGTGAAAGACAGAAGGACATGATCAGCTTAGCCCCTGCTGAAATTGCTCTGTCACACACACACACACACACACACACACACACACACACACACACACACACACACACACACACACACACACCCACACTCACACAGA